GAATGCCAGGAAGAATTTTCTGATGTGCATAATTAGGAAAAGTTAATGACTCTTAAAAACAAGGGTCCAAATGCGTTCTCTGTCTCGGAAAACTGCCAACTGTTGAGCACAGAATGATACTCCATTGCTTCTACCCTGTTTGTTTTGCTCTTTACCTAAGCATTTAATACCAGCCCCAGTTCCCACTGGAGGAATATGAATGACACTGCACAGTATGAATAGGTAGAATTAGAATCTGTTGTGTGGCTCAGAGGCAGACCGGATGACTTTCATTCAGCCTACTCATGTAAAAATTAGCCAAGAAACCTCATGGGCCCAACAGTCACCTCTGGGGTGCCAAAGTTAATAAAAAGGTAAAGATCAGCTCCCACAAACCTAATTAGACTATAACAGGAGGCAGGGCAACCATTACCTCCTAACTCAGGGCTCCCAAACACCTGCCAGGAACCACCCCTGCAGGATTCTGCACTGCCTGCCCATAGAAAAAAGATGAGGAGTATGACTCTATTAAGAGTGTTCAAGGGAGGAGGTCCTTCCTATAGGAAGCACAATTGGAGCTGGTCTACAAAAACTGCATCCTGATTCTCAGAGAAGATGTTAAAGAAGTCTGAGAAGACGTATCTCAAAATGGATGCAGAAGCTGTCAGTTGTATTAAGAGGTGTTCACTGGAATCCTCTAGGCATTTTTGTACAGCCATATCTGCCAGGACTGAAGGTCTGAAAGTTTGGAATAGCTACAGAGGCAGACTGGGCTTTCTTTGCTGAAGAAAAATTGCAGAGATCTAGGATTTTCCATTAAATTCAGACCAGCTCATGGAGGCATACAAAGGATGTTGAAGCAGCACCGGAGTATGGACAGGACTACCTTAAGACCAATATCCTTCTACAAAAATAAAGGCAGAGAAACCTGCTAACCTCTGCTGTTGAGCTGGTGCCATAGCCTGCAGCAGAAGCCAAAAGGCCAGTGAGAAAGAACACATGGCAGAGAAGCTGACGTTAAATAGAGCAGCAGACTCGCAACATGCTGGATGGCATAGCATGATAGTTCTTTCATAGGTGGAAAGAACTGTACCTATCATTTGTGCTTGACCACCAGTCTATAGCGTTGATCCAAGAAGATACTTGCAAGCTCTACCTATTCCAAGTCTTCCAGAGCATAGACCATGAGGAACTCGTTGTTCGTATTTACCATTACGGCTAATGAAATCTATTTCTCTGAACATCAACATCTGTTTCTTCTTCTTCTCACAAAGGAGACAAATGTTTTGATAGAAAGGCCAGAGATGGCAGGACTGGAGGACTCCTGACACACTCCTTGACTAAAGGTGATAGGCTGGAACAGGACCCAGATAAGCTTGACAAAAGAACTCTTCGGTCCCGTACAATGCCTATAAAACAGGATCCAATGTTAAACACCAGTAGGATAACCAGAGAACAGCCACCAAGTGCCTTCTTCCAGCTGAAGACAGGAGAGCAAATTCTACATAGCATCTGAGATCTTCTCCCTTATCTGATTACAGGTTACTGAAGATGGATCAATCATAAGATACTACGGGTTTAGTCTGGGAGAACTGTACTACTCAGCAAGGAGTTATTACTCTCAAGCTGCATTGAGACGCAGTTTTATTACAGAGCCTTTTTGCATGAGAGCAAAAAGCTCTTTCATACAGTCTCATATGGCTGTTGCCAAGGGTTCTAGCACAGGCAGTGATAACACATTCCAGCGTGAGCCAGGCTGTATCAGGAGGCAATCACATTGGTCAAGGTTGAGAGGCCCTCAGGGTATAAGAAATTATGAGAGCTGCAATGCTAGTAGAGAGTTAAGAGTTAAGCCACAAAGATGCTGCGGTACCCAATAAATAAAAGAAAAGGGAACAGACATTAACTAAGAATAGTGTGGCCACTTTGGGAAAGAGAGAAAGTTACTGACTCCTTTTTCTCACTGGCAGATGTGTCTCCACATGTGGAGACACCATGACAAGGTGGAGGGCAAAGGAGAAGTTGAATAAAAAAGAAAAAAATCAAAAGGAAAGAGGTGTTTAGGATGGGAAAAGGCACAGGACAACATCAGGCAAGGCTGCAAGACTAGGAATAGCAGCAATAACAATTGAAAAGGAACATGGAACTGAAGGCCTGAGAAAGCATACCATGCTTTAAAAGCAATAATAGGAAGAAGTAAGAGCTAATGAGGACTTTGCCAGGGAAAAGGACCAAGACGACAAACGCAATGAAAAGAAGCAGGGGGAGTAATTGACACTGCTAGAAGAAAACCCAAGAATAGGAATAGGAGGAAAGCTGTGTGCAGACTTACTCATTGGGAGAGCAAAGGCACAAGTCTGTTCTGTATGCTGTAAGGAAGAAATGAGGTAGATGCACAGAGGGTTGACAGAGAGAAGGCCCCATCCCACAAACTCTTTGACACACAACAAGGCGTTACAAGATCATCTCACTTCCAGCAGAGAGACAAGGCAGCACTCTCTTCATGACGTTGGCTCTCTTTGGTTTAGAGTTGCCCAAAAGGAAGGTGGTGGATAGGGCATCTGGGCTAACTGTCATTCTACAGATTGGGATCTTGTGGCTCCTCCTGTGCGTCATTGACAACGCCAATAAAACAAGCAAACAATTCCCAAACACACAGCCTTGTCTTCTACTCTTCTTCTCTCCCCATAAGTAGGCGGCAGGATCCCACCAGTCTCATAAAAACGGTATAGCCAGCTGGCAGGCAGGCAGCAGTGCCTGGGAGAAGCACAAAATGGCAGTCCTGCTGGCTACTGTCAGAGAGAGCTTATGCGCAGGCAGACTTAAGCTCTGACCTAAGATAACAGCTGTTATTCCCAAGAAGCTACAGAATTGGAGCTCTCATTGCTCATCATTGTATCTGTTTCATAGTGTGCTCCCCAGAAGCAGGATCTGGCATACCAGAGTAGCCACAGTTCCCCTGCTTCCTTGCAGGGGCAAAAACATATGGTATTAACAAAACCTCACAAAATTCAGCCTACTGAACTGCCTTTGAATTTGCATTAAGAAATTATTCCGGGGGGGAAGCTTTGCTGTACTTCAACAAAGGCTCAACTCCTACCTGAAGCCAGGGATGCTCTAAGGCTTCCTCTGTTGTCAGACGTTTGCTTGGATCCACTACTAGCAGCTTCTTTACAAGATCCAGAGCTAAGATAAGAAGAGTTGGTTGGCATATGACCAGTAAATTCATAACTTGAAAACAAGTAACGCAGTATGCATACCCCAAAGCTTTGTGCAGCAATGCATCTAATTGCACTTTAGAACAACGATGCCCAAAAATACTGGCTGGGCAGATTACTTTTCTTTTTAATACGCATAGGAAACTGCAGACCATAGCCATTTTTCATCACGTGCACGCAATTCAACACTTTCAGTATACCAAAGCTACCACTAGATTTACTGAGCATGTCCACAGCTTATGTTCTGTGCATGCACAAGAAGCTCAACACTCTCCTATAACCTTCAGCATTACTGTGGACATGCAAAGATAGTTTAATCTAGTTTCCTATTACTGGAGAAATAACAACAGCTTATGGTGTCTTGAAAAGCACGAGTTTCTCTTCCTCATGAGTTTCTCCAGATGGATACTCTTATCACAGAGGAAGAAGAGCCAAGACACACATGTATGCTTAACATGACCACATATCATTTCATTTTCTTAGGAAACTACTTTACATACGCTGCAAAAAATTCAGTATTTATGTCATGTTTAATAACTCCTAATCTCCCCTAAAAGAATATTGGCAAGATTTACTTTCCATTCTACAACGCCTATTAAACAGGATCCAAAGTTAAACATCCGTAGGTGTTTAGGACTATTTACAACCTTAACATAGTTTCCATTCTTACATGTGTCCAATTTATTATTGGATAAGCTTCAGACAATTCAGGAAGGGGTTACACTTGGTAAGTTTATTAAAAAAATACCCTCTTTACTGTGAGGGTGGCAGAGCCCTGGAACAGGTTGCCCAGAGAGGTTGTGAAGTCTCCTTTCTTGGAGATATTCAAAATCCATCTGGACACGATCCCGGGCAACGTGCTCCAGGCGACCCTGCTTGAGTAGGAGGACTGGACTAGATGATCTCCAGAAGTCTCTTCCAACCTCAACCATTCTGTGATTTGTTAGAGACATCTCTGCAAATACGCAGGATTATCCATGGCAAATACTGTAACTATTTTGTGCATCTAAAGTGTCCTGAAAAGGAAAAGCATACAGATAGAAACTATCATTTTAGTTTATGTTGTGCAAAAATTCATTTAGCTTTGCAGATTGCTTAGTTTGGAGCGGGCCAAAGTTAACAGTTGATTCCATAAGTGTCTGATACTTCATGGTGCTAGACTTTGTATTTCAGGCTTAAAATTACTCTTAACATTTCTCTCTTGGAATTCTAACCCACATTCCTTAAACTCCTAGTATTTTTCATTCAAAATACAAACAATCTTTGAGCAAGGCAAAATCTGCAGATCAGCTTGATGAAGTCAGAAGAAAAGTAAAAGATGCAAAATAGCCATATGGGTCCAAGGACTGTACGCGTTCGGAGTTAATAATGCTAAACATTACTAAGAGAGGCACTTGTAGCCTTCTCTTCTAGAAAAATTTATTTGCTCTTTCTAATGCTTCAACTATGAACAAAAAGAAATGTTCACTGTAAGGGACAACTTGAAACAAAATGAACATACCAGTGTGCAATGTGCCATATAGCTGAAAGCTGGTAAGAAGTTAAAGAAAAAAAAAAAAAAAAGGTTGCCACTGTAATGCAGTCATACCCATGTCCGTTACATGCTTCCATTCTTTTGCAATAAATGTGTATTCTCCACGAGTGATTTGGTCTTTCAGAGATAGTTGAGTATTCTGCTCATTAAATGGTGGATATCCACACAAGCTATATAAAAGAAGAAAACAAGTTAAACACCACAGGTTTTGCAATAGTGGAAGAAATATTAAAATCACATGTGTTAAAGCATCTGCTCTCATTGCCTCTTCTACATGCAACACATATTCCCTTCCCAATACATGTACAAAAGTTGCCAAGTCTTGAGCCATGTACATCAATGACTGCCCAATCAAGGCAGCAGCTATGCAATTTCTTACCATACAAAAAGAATAACTCCTAAACTCCAACAGTCCACAGCTCGGCTGTATCCGGCAGTCCCAAGTGAATTTAAAACTTCAGGAGCAAGATACGTAGGAGTACCACATAATGTTTTCATAAGAGAAGTTTCTCCAAGAATCTTGGATTGTCCAAAATCTGTAATCTTGTATTTAAAAATAGTAACACTGCATTACATATTAGGATTGACTGTACTACAACCCATCATATACAATAAACAATCAACGACAAATTGATACAGTGTCAACATACAATATCAGTATACATCAGAAGGTAACATTAAGTCTCTGCTTTCCAAGGCACAATTCCAGTACAGGACTATGAACCAAAAGTTACCTAAATCGTTATTAAAAAGTCAGCAAACAACAACTGAGAAGGGTAGAGGAGGAGAGAGGAATATGATAGTAGGTCACGTTTAGCACTAGCAAAAGCTACTCTCAGATTGGAACGCAAACTGAAGACCTCAAGGTAAAGATTTTCTACCTTATTAAAGGAGACTACTTGAAAAATAAGCAATTAGCATACAAATCTATTCATTGCTTTATCTGAAAAATATTGTCACCAAACAGCCTAGATATTTGTGGAAATGCTCTCTGTGATTCAAGAATTTAGATTTTATTGAAAAAACCACAGCTAAACGTAAAGTCACACTCCATTAAGTGCTATGCAAGATATGAAGCACAACATTTCTCAGTTGTTCTTACATAAACGTATGGATTGAAATATCCACAATAATAAAATTAGATTTACAAAAAGCCCTCGATGTTTTAGTTTACTTCATAGTTTGTATGACTAATTCCATACTACTTTTTATTGTTCTGTTTAACTAAATACTGAGTAGAACGGCAAGAAGCACTCTCAGATTTCCAAATGAACAGAAGAAAATTTAAATTTCTTACCTTTATAAGACATGTTTCTTCAGAAGATGAAAGTAGCACATTCTCCGGCTTTAGATCTCGGTGAATAATTCCATTATCATGAAGATACTAAATATAAATAAATATACACATACATCAAAAGACAAACAGACAATTATCTTTTTTTAAATGTAAGCTTTCCAATCTTTCTCACAGCTATGGCAGGTAACTGAAATGCTTGTCTAAGAGACGTGCACGGATTTAAAGCTATGTAGTTTATGATTTTAAAAGGGAAAAAAGCCCAGACTTAGAAACCATCATGCTTAAAATGTCAATCTTAATGCAAGCATCTGATCACAAGCTCTTCTGAAGGTGACTACAATGATGACTCTCCACCCACACACTACTAAAGGTCTCACACAATAATCCTGCCATGAATTAGCACAGCTTGTATTACTGTTTTAATCCCTGCTTTTAATAAGTAAGTGAGTTTGAATGTTCTTTGGCTGCAATGAGGTAAAGAATCTTGTTAAATTAGCTCGTGGAGAGCAGCGTACTGATTGCTTGCACGCGTTTCAGAAGTGCTAAATGACAGAAAAATTAGTCTGATGGCTATGCGTATGCACAACCATATTTTTCTTGGCAGAACTCATGATTACATACCTTTACAGCCAGCAACATCTGATAAAAATACAACTTGCAAGTAGCTTCTTTCATCTTGATTGGTCTTGACACTCGGTCATACAATTCTCCTCCTTCCATCCTAAAAGAGAAGCCAGTAATAAGTCACTGTATTAGTTCCAGAAGATGCACCTCATTAGGTGAGACTGAAATCAAAACAGCTTCATTTGGCTATTTGGGCTAAAGAGAAAGAATATATTTAATTTCTGAAAATGACTGAGCAATGCCCTAAACATAGCATACGCACTGCTGAACCAGGCTTTGTCTTCTGAGTCTTCACTGGGAGTTATTTCAACACTTTTGATCAACCTTCTTTTACAAGCCTGAATCAAAGTAGCAGCAATCCACAGCAACAGCATGGCGGGCAACTGCCCAGGCACTTCAAAGTGCAAAAGGATCACTCCTGATTACCCGAGTTCATGAATTTTACAGGGGCTTCAGACAGTTGTTGGGATCAGCAAAAAATAAAATAAATTAAGGCTCACAACTATTCACGTTTTTTGTGGCCATGAAAAATGTTTCATTTAATGCATTTACTTTCAAGAAGTTACTTACAGTTCCAAAACAATGTAGTAATCCTCTGCTTCAAAGAAGTTTTTGATCTTGATTAAGCAAGGCTAATAAAAAGGGAACACACAGACAGACAGACACAAAAAGCACAATCATTTGTAAAAATTAACATTGCCAACACTACCAACACCGTATCATCCAAAATTTCCTATTTCAGTATGATTTTAACTGTACTAGTTTAATTAACACTTAGGCACTAGCGTCCCAGGCTTTGGCAAACATTCAAGTCCATCGTTTTCTCTCCTGTACCTCCACATACAAAAACATCTGACTTGCAATAACTACAACTCAGCAGTCACCCTTCTTTTCTCCAACTGTGAGTTTCCAAACTCTCAATATTTTCTCTATAGACAGTGTTGCATTTAAAGGGAATGTTAATTAAATTACGCAAACTTTCCACATAGTGAAAGGAAAAGAAAAGCTTTTGGGGGGAAAAATGGGGGAAAGGGATACAAATCCTAAAAACTGCCAGGGGAACGTAACCTTTGTTTGGCTATCTGGCAATATTTACAAAAATATGCATTAAGAAAAAAAATTCTCTGCAAAAGTGCTTCAGGCAGAAACATGACTGTGAAGTTTCCTCCCAAATTTACATCTCAGTTATTCAAGGTTCTAAAATCTCAAGTCTGTAAAGACACAGTGTACTTAAAAAGTTTTCAGTGAACTCATCTACAGCAAAAATGACAAGCACCCCCTCGAATATTTTCTAAACAAAAAGTTAAAATTGAACATTAGTTACTACACTAAGGTGAGCGACTTAGAGAAGTACAGGAGGCAACAAAAAGGAATTAAAACATACAGTAACACTCACGTGATTTATTTTCTTCAAAATCTCGATTTCTGTATTGATATTAAAAGCTGGGTTCTATTAAAAGAATCAAACATAATGCAGAGTAAGACAGCGGCGTTCTAAATCAAGACACTTAAGAAATAAGAGACAGTACCAGAAAAGCAATTGTTTCACATCCCTTGCTACTTTAAGCAATCATAACATATAACCTTTTTCCTTAACTGATCAGGTGCCCTCTGTGAATTAATTGAATAGTCTGCCGTCGTTATCTGTAGCAACATACTGCTCCAGACATGTCATTTCACTAAGAATTAGAAATCTTCATGTAATTTCCTAGCTACAAGATTAATTTTGACCACGATATATCAATATTGTCCTTATACAGCTTTCCGGCCTCAGAAATGCTTCCCGCGTGAGCTACACCTAAAAATAAATGCTACTCACCTCTAGTCTTTATTTTGCAAGGTAATGTAAACAGATTCTTTTAATCTCTTTTAACACATGGTTTAGGCTGAACTCATAAAATCACCCAGCAGTCTTTTTTGTTCTTCTTCCAATCTAAATTAATCATCTTTGAAGATAAAATTCATAACAGCATTTCTTAATCTTTACTAGAAATTCTCCAAAATGGCATTTAGCAGTTTTCAGTTACATTGATGCTACTAATTCATCTACAAATAGCTATTCTTACTTCCTCCTCTGAACTAGGAAAAGCATGGATTATAGCAGAAATTGTCACTAGTCTTGAGATGCACAGCCTTGCACGGTCTATTAAACATTATCTAATTTTTATTACTTCTGCTCACAAAGGTGTCAGCTCTTCTTATACAACGCTGCAGTCCTCCTTTCCATCAACACAACTTCAGGCCAGCGCCAAATTAGTACATTCCTACTTTTGGGCCATGACCTCTAAATATTCTTCTAAGGAAGACTAATCTCAAGACAAAGTCTGAGAACCTCCACCAGTAACTTCTCTTCCACCCAGTAATTCCCCTTCCAGTGAAGCCTCCTGGTATCCGTTCCTCAGCCAGCTACATTTCCACCTTAGAATTTTTGTCCTCATGAAAATATATATTTCCCAGATTAAGTAGTAATTTCCTACACATTACCCTATCAAATGCTTTGTCAGAGTTTAAATAGATTCTGTATATTGTATCTGTGCACTTAGGTCCATTTTCTTAAATAAATTAATCAGTTTAGTCCAACTTGATCTAACTTTGTAAATACACAGCTACACGAATTACATCATCCCATTTCCCATTGACCTTCACCTCTAATTGTATTTTTCTTGAGATTTTATCCTATACCCTCACACATAACTAAAGTTAGATTAACAGATGTGAAGTTGTTTGGACTCTTTCTCATCTGTTGGAATACAGTCACTTGGCTTGTTCTCCTCCTTCAAATTCAGGCTTCTGCTACAAGACTACACACAGGAAAAGCCCTTCCCAAAAAGCTTCAAAAATTTTATTAAAAATTATTATGATGGAGAATGCTGGAGAATAACGATGGTTACAATAAAATCATAAAAACGATGGTTACAACACAACTAACTAATGAGGTTACAACAAATCAAAAAAAAAAGAAAACCAAGAGTTTGTAAATCTCTGGTCAGACCCCACGGGTTAATGATGTACCTTTCTGGTGTATTTTAGAAGATATACCCCGCAAGACTCCACCCACCCCACCTTTTTACATACCACATTTACAAGCAGTCTGAAAATGTGAGCATAATGAAATGTGTTCAAATAAAAATAAAACATTTTCTACAGAATTCTATGGTTTCTGTAAAATCAAAAGGCATTCTGAAATTACATGCAGAAGGACAAAGTAAGAAAAACCTCGTCAGTTGAGGACAGCTGGGGAGATAAAGAGAGAGGTTACCAAATATTTCCGGATCACACCAAAATTAACAAAAGAACGAACCACACAAACAAACAAAGAAAAATACTTACTGCCTCTCTAATACCACTTGCCATAAACTTCCGTTTATTGATTATCTTTACCGCAACCTTGTTACAGGTGCTTTTCTCAAATGCCAGTTTAACTTCTCCACAGGCGCCGCTAATAGAAAAGCACAGCTAGGTTAAAGCCTACAAATACTTTTCAAAATCCATGTAACAAGTATAACAAGTAAAATAAAGGCACTGGGCTGGTTAAGATTACACACAATTAGAGGCTACTGCTTTCCAACCCTCTGACTATAGCAAGTTGACAAAACTTTCTCAGTAATCGTTCAACAGTTAGGAAGGCACTGTTTAAATAGTAAGTGATGCTGAGGACCACCAGGTCAGAAATGCAAGAGTAATATGTAGAGCAAATCATTGGTTTGTACAAAGGGTACCAATGAATATCCGGGACAAGCTCTGTCAACTTTTCCATCACATAAATGCATTTCTACGGTTTCTGTATTGAAGAGAAGAAAATCTGGTAAAGAGTCCTCGCGATACAATTTTTTCTTCTTTTTTTTTTTTTTAATAGTAGAAACTATATTACAGAAAGAAAGCCTTGCATTTTCCACTCAGATTTCTTTACACTGAATCATTCTCTCTCTCTTCCAAATTTTTCACTGGCCATCAAGAGGAAAAAAAAAATTACCTTCTTAAAAAGGCCTGTCTCCCTTCTGGAAAAAAAAAAAAAAAGAGCTCTTTCCTCTTCTGAAGACCTCAACAGTAATGTTGCAGAAGGCTCTATTCTAACACACAATCAATTTTTCTTCTACTTCTGATCACTGAGAAAACTAACACACAAAATGTTAAAACTTGCTAGGAATCTACAAACTTTGTTCTCATCTCCTGAAAACTTGAGTTTCCAATTAATGGTAGTTTATGAACCCAAGCCAATAAGAAGAATTAAAGCTAAAAATCTAGACTAAGCTGTTCTAAAGAACAGTTTTACTCACGTGTTATCATTCATATATTCAATTTTTAATTATTTCATCATTTAACAGTTGAAACTGGAGTAATAGAGCTATAATCCAATGAAAGGATTTTTGCTTTGATGGCCAAATAATTGGGAAACAAATAAAAGAATAGTCTACTGCATTTCGGATTTACTGTCACTACTGCTACTCTGCCTTTTAAGAAGAATTAGTTCCTTCTGCCTCTGTCCCATACTTTCAAAATTAAAACCAAGAATAAGATCATTTTACATACAGTTTTATGATATAACTTAATTTTAGGAATGCTATACTTCAAAAGCAAACAATTTCTAAAATAAGTGACGGAAAATATTTTGTCTGAAGGAGTAACATCATGCTGTAAGCAAGTATTAAGCTGCCCATCATAAACACTACAATTTTTCAAGCATTCTGAAAAGAAACTTCTCCTGCCAAACTTTCAAATTCCAGTTTCCTCCTTTTAACAACTGTAAATGCATATAAATATTCTTGCACTTAAAGAAAAGTAATTACACCGAAGGAAAAAAATGTTTCTATGAAATGCTGAGCAATGAACTCAGTAATCACATCATTCACTGCCTTAAAGCATCTTCTGTTTCCAGTCACCCCCATACAAACACTGTATTCATCTGCATTCTCAATATTCTGGTCTTAGTTAAGATACTTTGTGGCACAGTGCACTTAGGTTTAATCTCTTTCATAGAGAGCAATCCTTACCTCTGGGCAAACAAAATGCTTTCTGAAATAGCATCAGCTTTAGACCATCCAGGTAAAACGAAGCAATTAAGTAATACACTGTTCATGGTCTCTGTTAACCTATACCAGTCCCAGATATCCTTGCACTGACCTTAGAAAATTCAGTGAAATCAAAGCATTTCAGTCATCAAACTAAATTGCTGCATGGCACTGAAAGAGTAAAATAGCTATCAAAACATCAAGAATGGTATCTACTTCTCCCTCCCTCCCCTCAAACAGAGTTTTATTACCCTGTAAAACACCTTGAGTATTTGTGGGATTATTAAAATTAAAACAGCAGCTCGGTTAACACTGGTCATAATTCTGGTACAATGTACAGAAAACTATAAGAAAATTAGCGCTTAATATTGTGGAAAGAAGGATGCTTACCTTCCCAAAGTCTTTGACATGATATATTTCTCTCTGAATTCTCTAGGAAACCCCAACTGATCATCCACCATAAGATCAGAAAATACAAACACTAGGAAGATGAGTGGAGATCATTTTCCTGTTATTAACTTAAAAATTTCATTATAATGAACAACTACTCTTCCTGAGCATTTAGCCAACAACATAACTAAGAAAATGCTGCTGCTAGAAGAAAAACATAAATATATAAGAAAAATTAACCGATGCTAGAAAAGACATCAGCCATGGATTAGCAAGATGATCTCATTACTGAAAAATAACTTCTATACTTAGCCACATTTTGGGTATAAACTCCACACAACAGCACTTAATCAATCAACACTACGCTCAAAGATAAAATTAACAGGCAAGAACACCTTTGTGGGAAAACAAACAAAAAATCCAACCCTCCTAATTTTTAAGAGAGGTTTTCAAATGTCTGCTGTATAACATTAAGTGTTTTCTTCGCTTCCCTTGAATATCATTTCCCATGTTTCCTCCATCACATATGCAGCTACTGAGGCAAAAATGTGTTTCAAAAGTAGGAACATGACTATAAAAGTTTACAGTTCGGTATGGTGGCTCCTGATGCAGCTGCTTTTAAATTCTCTTTTTTCATTTTTTTCTAGGCTCGAGGTGGATATAGAGAATTTTTATGTGAGTACTAAAACATCAAATCACAACTGTATTCTCAGCTACCGTTTTAGCTATACAGTAAATGGGAAAAAGTTCAAATTGCAAGAAAACTATTCAAATCACTGTGGAAAGGACCTCTTGGTCAGCACATGAAAAATCTACTTATGTTATAGTGTATTTTACCCTTATTAGTCTGTACAGATAGTGCAATTTCAGAGTTGTGAGTCAGTGGAAGCCTCTTCCCTTTCCCAATGAGCTCTCTGTTAATGAAAGTTCCATTTGCACTGTGATCTTCAATGTAGGCAACATAGGAGTTTTTTGGACCCATTTCCTGAAAGAGAAAAAGCAGGAGAGAGAACAATAGGGAAAACGGACGTTACTGTAAAGATGTGACAGACTATAGAAATGTACGGTCATTAGCTCAGCAAATCAGACGTTATCAAGGTTATTTCATAAACCTGGTTAATAAAGCGTTGTCAAGAGTTTTGTTAAAGGAGTTAACACTGAAAAGTATTTAAACTTTGATTTCATTAGAATTATGCCAGGACAGAGACACTGTTAACCTTTTTAGCACCTACCCTGAAAATTCGGAAGTGCTTCTTACTATAGTTTTGGTAAAAGCCAGTCTCAGACAATCCTAGTTTAGAAAAACTGTAGTCACAGCTTTTGTCTCTTCCAAACCAGTACTCATCATTCACGCAGTCTGTAGAGGATGGGGAAGTAAAGCAGAGAGAGAACACAAAATTGTAGTAAGTTATTAAGTCTGGCACTACAGAACAATGCCAAAAAACAGCAAGTAGGGTAACAGACAAAGACAAGACACAATCAAGTTTATTAATCTTAATTCAGACAAAACAGCACACACTGTGAAAAACCTTCTATCCTGCTACAATATTTTAATCGTTGAATATCCTCTTCATTAATAGTAGAGTCACCTTCAGCAATACAGAGAGACTCACGTGATGCATAAACAAAATAAATTATGAAATGGAAAATGGAGCAAGTAACAAAGAACATGAATACCCCAGAATTCCTCCTCTAAGTCTATGGAAGCCGTATATCTCAGTGCTCAATGTAAAAGCATTATTTAGGATTATTAGCATTATTTAGCATTATTATTAGTTTATTTATTATTAGGTTATTATTAGTTTATTATTTAGAATTTTTATTAGCTCATTATTAAATTGTAATTAAATTATTAGTTTACTGTTTAGTATTATTAGCATTATTTAACATTATTACTATGGCATACACAGTTGTTGCAAGCTCCCATTTGCTTGTACTTAATTTGAAAATGAAAAGCAGCGCTCTGCCAAGCTGCTCAAAGTTCTTCTAAACAGATGGACCACGAGACTAATTACAGTATGTACATACCACAGTTGCTGAAACCTTTTCCAAGTGCGAAGAGACGACCCCAAGGCTGAGGAACCAGCTCTTCAGATTCCTGATCCTCAGGAATCGATGGGAGCTCCTGAGTGGGAACGGTGTCCAAAGAACTGAGCGTCCCAGAGCCTGAGGAAGACTGACTAGTGCTCTGCGACCCGCTGGAAGCGGAACTGGTACCGCTCTGCGACTGTGGAGCGCCTTGAGACTGCTGCGCTTCACTTGCGGTCTCCCGAGACATGTTGGCTTCAAAGAGAACGTTCAGAAGAGAAATTACTATAGCAAAGTGAGCACGGCAGACAACCACTTATATGCAGGACTATTCACATCCAAGTTTACTTTCAGTCTTCAAGCAACTAGAACTGCGGACCAAAGTGTGTATGAGTGGATTATACTTAAATCCACAAGTTTTTGTAAACAGTAATTTGTTTCTTCTGTTTCTAAATAAGAACGTGGTACTCCCTCCACTGATTCTAAAGCAATCGCTAAATCTTATTCCCTGATTTTCAGTCAAACTCTTCAGGATTCGCGCTGTATTTCACGAACATTTGTGCAGCACTGTCTGACAAAGCACCCCCCACATAACAATAACCATTGCAGCTCCCCAGACACAAAGAGAAAAAAACGAAAAAACGGAAATAAGAACTATAAAATGAAGGTACTTTCTGTTGACACTGGAAGTGCCCCATAGATGTAACACATCAGCAAACCAATTTGGTGCTATGGCGGAAGATTCGTCTAACACAGCTTACGGCTCACAAATGCACGCGCCTATCTTTCAAGCAGGTTCTATTCAGCAGTTTTACTTACAAAATAACCACACTTGTATATAGTTAATACACATAAAGTTTATGTACAGAGTTCTGCTAGACTCAAAGAGACACACAACAGCCCTGGCAGCGGGTTTCACGTACAGCAACAAGAGAAGGTCACGAACAGCACTTACCTGCTCTGTCAGCGGAGCGGTGTTTGTAATGGTATCATGCCTTCCTCCTGCTCAGGAGGAAACAGGGCATCACCCGACTCGCCTTCAGCTACTTCCTCCAAGCGCTCCCTGCGCCAGGGGCTGCCCCGCGCTCCCGCCTGGCCTTCCCCGGCGCTCTCGGCATCTCAGATGGCCTGCGCTCGCCTTTTCACCTGCTTTCTTAGTTTATTGCCCTACCTGGTTTTTTAGGCTGGTTGCTACCCAGCCAGTACATAAATTAGTTTCCTTACCAGTTTGCCATGTTTCTTCACTAGTGACAAAAACCCCAGCCCCCTTACTACTTTTTATACGTATGTACAGAGGTGTTTGGAAACACAGACAAGGCCTGTAAGCTTTACCATTACCTACTCTAACAAAAAAGTCTATCACGAGCAGTGTGCTGCAGGTACCACATAAGTTTTACTTAAAAATTAACATGGGCTGTTCTGGGGAAAAAAAAGATTAATAGCTAGAAGGAATAAACAAACAAATAAGAAGGGCTTCAACAAAAGCAGCATTTAGCGCTATCTGTTATTTATTTTACCGCCCCGGGGGAGGCGACGGGGAAGACGCGGGGTGGCAAGGGGGGACCCGTGACAGGCCAGGCTGGGCCGGGACCAGAC